GCATAGCATTGTCTTCTGGATTACATTCTCAATGGTAATGATGCTGATCTTCTGACAATGGTAAATGCAGAAGACTGAGAGGAAGAAGTACCCCTGCCTCCAAGTAGTTTCCTGTAGCCAGGAATGGAAGAATACAGGCAGTCCCCGGGTTACATCAATCCAACTTACATCGGATCCCTAGTTACAAATGGCGGGGCGGGGCGCAGCTAATGCAGGGTGCCTCCCCCACTGTCGCTGCCTCCAGCGGTGTGGGGGGCGCTTCCCCCCAGCAGACCAGGGAGATGCGGAGCGGCTTTTCTCGCTGCGGAGGACGCGGGCGGTGGGACCGCGGCGCATCTCAGTGGTAAAGGGGGCACCCCAGAGTGGAAGGGTCTGCTGGGGGGAACAAGACACCAGCCAAAAGGGGGCACTCCAGAACGGAAAAATTAATTTCCTATGGAACAGCAGGAGCAGCAGGCATTGAGACCCATTGTGTTACAGTCCCCACGTTGGGAGCAACAGCTCTTTCTCTCTTCAGCACTAGAGCTGCAAGTATCTTGTTAGTGTCACGTGAAATTAACAAGTCCCTTCCAGCCTGGCAGAGGTAAAGCTGAAAAATTACCCAGTGGTATGGGTGGGCAAGAATGGGGAGGAGCAGGACAGAAGGGAAGAGGGGATAAGCCCCAACCCCACACCCTGGCTGGAGCAGAGCAGGGTAAGCCCCGAGGGGATGGGTCTGGTTGCAAAGTGGGTGATGAGGACCCACCTGTGGCTAAACTCCTGTTCCCAACACAGAATTTTTCTTTAAAATTAATCCTGTGGATAAATTCACACACACACTTCACAGGAAGGGATTTCCATTTTCTGCTCAGCAGAATACAACAGCAGCTTTGATTGTATCAATATTTCACTGTGCTCTCCAATGACTATTTATTACACTTAATACCCATTTCACTGAACCATCTGTAGCAAATTCTATTTGGAACAGTAATATGCATTGAATAAACTTTTTTTAGTTATAAAAAACAAAGATTCTGACTATTAAATGAATAATTGGGATCTTTCAGGTACCCCAAAAGGAAGATTTGGATATAGCATGAAACACTGAAACTTATTATCAATTTTTAATTAAAATATCAACCAAAAAAACCTTCATATCAAAACAGTATGTGTTTTTCTTAGAATAAGGAAGTTGTATGAGAATCAGAGTCTTTTCCACCTAACTCCAGCTCCCCGTCCCCCCAAAAATATGTACTAGTTCCGACTTACATACAAATTCAACTTAAGAACAAACCTACAGTCCCTATCTTGTACGTAACCCGGGGACTGCCTGTATCATCAGACTCCATGACATTTATTGCAGAGTTTAGGTCTGTGAACTAATACAGTATTTGGTTATATCTGACTGCAGAAACATTGGACAATGTATCTTAGAGCCCAAGTCAACTAACTTGAGCTCATGGAGCTCACACTATGGAGCTAAAATTAGCAGTGTATGAGCTCTCACTCAGGCTTCGGTGTGGGTCTCAGTCTAGGCTCCAGCCCTAGCAAGACTGTCTGCATTGCTATTTTTAGCCCTGTAGCACTGTCTGGGTTCTGAGACTCACAGCACGGGTTGCGGGGAAGGGTATTCACCATGTAGGTGGACCCTTTGTAGCCAGGATAGAGCAGTGGAATTCATTCTCTTATGTTTTATTTTAACTTGATCATAACAGCTGATATTTAAAGAGAGTTTTAGGAAGACTGACTGTAACTAGTGAAACAACTCCTTCTTAAAAGATATGACCTTCAAACTTAGAGAATGATACCTGTCTTTGTGAAGTCATAGTTTTAGTATGCTTTTCAGCAAGTTTTAAAATGTGAATTCACTGAAGGTATATTAGGAGTTTGAAAGATTTTGCTCTCAAACTCGTGCAATGTTCTTCTCTTAGTTTTTAAATATCTAACATTTGATATAAAATTAATGTCTACAGGAGAAAACCTAAGGTTTTAAATTGCTTTTATCGCAAGAGTGGGTAACTGATTAAACAAGTCAGTTCAAATAGTATAAAACATAAATAAGTGCGTGTGGGGAGGGATGTTTAAAGCTTAACAGCAGAGATGTTGTACAGTATTTATTAACCTTCTACTGATCTGTACACTGCTCTGACTGACTTCACGTATACCTCGAAACAAGGGAAATACACAAATGTTTATTTTCATTAATGTGTAAAGCTCAACTCTCTGCCTTCACTGCAGGAAACAATGTTTATATACACCTTTGGAAAATCACTGTTGTAAGTGTTTTATATTGGGACCCCATGTGAACATAGTTTCTGTAGATTTCCTAGCTGCCGAGAGGTGTGGCTGAGAATACAAAGTAGGCTAATGTGCAGTTTAAATACTGCTTTACAAGTAGCTGAGTTGGCAATGGGATGCTTTCCAATTTTTTTTGTAAAACACAAATATTTTTTCTTTAACAGTTCATCATCTGTATTCAAACTATTAAATTAGTTACCTGAATGCTGCAGTGATGGGGGTTATCCAGCTTTCTTTCTTAAAGTAGCTAACTAATAAGAGTGATCTATAAAAAGCCTTTTGTGTATATAACTGCACATAGCTGACATGCCTATTATGAAATCTTTACTCAGTGGCAGACAGTCCATTGACTTCTAAAACTTTAAACTAAATTATTCAATATTTGGCCTATTTCTCTTTGCCATTTCATTATGGCATTCTTCACTTGGGGTTGCAAATAAAAACCAGAAGGCTGTGTCTACACTGGCGCGATCTCGCACAAACGCGGCCGCTCTTGCGCAAAAACTTGCTGCCCGTCTACACTGGCCGCGTGTTCTTGCGCAAGTAAACTGATGTTCTAATGTATGAAGTCAGGGCTTCTTGCGCCAGAACTCTGATGCTCCCACTCAGGAATAAGCCCTCTTGTGCAAGAGCTCTTCCAGAAGAGGCCAGTGTAGACCGGCAACATGAATTTCTTGCGCAAGAAAGCCCTATGGTTAAAATGGCCATGAGAGATTTCTTGTGCAAGAGAGCATCTACACTGGCATGGATGCTCTTGCACAAAAGCACATCTCTTGCACAAAAGCACATGCCACTGTAGACGCTCTCTTCTGGAAGAGTTTTTGCGAAGAACTCTTCCGCAAGAGGGTTTTTGCGTGAGAACGTGCCAGTATAAATGTAGCTGAATTGTACCTCTCTTATATTAACAGTTCTAATGTTCTTGAAGTCCTTATCTGTATTCCATATGGAAAAAGTTAAACCTGACTAGTCCATATTTAATGTTTCCCTTCCTGGAATCTACAGGCAGTCCCCGAGTTATGCGGATCCGACTTATGTCGGATCCGACTTATGTCAGATCCGCAGTTACGAACAGGGTTTGCTGCCCGTTGTACCTCTCTTATATTAACAGTTCTAATGTTCTTGAAGTCCTTATCTGTATTCCATATGGAAAAAGTTAAACCTGACTAGTCCATATTTAATGTTTCCCTTCCTGGAATCTACAGGCAGTCCCCGAGTTATGCGGATCCGACTTATGTCGGATCCGACTTATGTCAGATCCGCAGTTACGAACAGGGTTTGCTGCCCGTCTCCCTGCTCTACCAGCAGACCAGGGAGACGGGAAGCAAAGCCTCTGAGGACGCCGGCAGCGGGACAGCAGCCGGCCACA